AGAGAGAGACACAGGGAGAAGAGACAGAGAGAGAGACAGGAGGGGAAGAGAGAGAGAGACACAGGGAGAAGAGACACAGAGAGAGAGATACAGGGAGAAGTGACAGAGACAGGAAGGAGAAGAGACAGAGAGACAGGAGAGAGACAGGAGGTGAAAAGACAGAGAGAGAGAGGAGGTAGAGGGCGAGAGGAAATAAAGAGCAGGAAAGCAGAAACAGAGAGGGGTGTGACGGGTCCGAGCTGCACTCACCATCTGCCTGAAGACCTTGGAGTCCTTGGTGCGGGAGAAGGAGCGCTCGGGCACCCAGCGTGGCACCAGCCCTTCGCTGGAGCTGGCACGGGCACGCTGCATCTTCGCCATCACCGCCTTCTCGTCCTTCTGCACGCCACACACAGCAGGACACACCATCACTGACGGGGAGGGACACAGCGCACAGACCCTAGACCCCGCCCGTCCCCCCCGCTCTGCCAGGCCACACACAGCAGGACACACCATCACTGACGGGGAGGGACACAGCGCACAGACCCTAGACCCCGCCCGGCCCCCCCGCTCTGCCAGGCCACACACAGCAGGACACACCATCACTGACGGGGAGGGACGCAGCGCACAGACCCTAGACCCCGCCCGGCCCCCCCGCTCTCCCGCGGGCACTCTCGTCCCCCCCGCTCTGTCAGGACGTCCTGCGGGCACTCTCGTCCCCCCCGCCCTCCCACGGGCACTCTCGTCCCCCGCGCTCTGCTGGGACGTCCCGGGGGCACTCTCGCCCCCTGCTCGCCGTCAGGAAGAGAGTAATCCTCCACAGCCTGGTGCAGGGGTATTAAGGAATTGCACACTGACTACTGAAGCACACAGTCCTCCAGCTGACATGACCTCAGGTCTCTCCAAAGCCCCTTCTTCCAGACCCCAGCCCCAGCACAGCTGATGACATAACTCGTCCTGGGACAAGGACACGCCAAGACAAGAGAGGAAAGAGTGGCAGGGTGGGAAGGGACACGGACCCGTTTCTGGCTGCAGCCCAGGATGAGGAAGGTCTCGATGCTGTTCTCCTTCAGGTAGGCGTTCCTCTCGCCCCCAAAGCCAGGCTCCACCTCATAGTCCCCGTTCAGGTACTGCAGGGTGGCCCTGGTGATGTGGATCCGCCTGGGCACATGGACAGA